ACTAGTCATGTCTATGATTCTAAGCGACAATTAAGTGGGGGGTTCCCTGGGGCCAGGGAGACGGCTCAGTGGAATAAGTACTTGCCTGGCAAGCTCAAGGGCCTGAGTTCAATCCCCGGTTCTGCAAAGAAAAAAAAAGGGGGGGGCCCTGCTTGTGGCTATCTCCATCACCATTATAGTGAGAGAGAGCAGAACCTATGGGCAACATGGGCTGGGATGGGGGCTTGATGAGATGGAAGGACCCCCCTGGGGGACCAAGACAGAGGGAAACAAAAGGCAGGTCACTAGTGGTCCCCAGAGGAGCCCATGCTTCCTCACTCCCCCTTGGTCCTCAGGCTTCCGGCCCCGAAGGAGTCTGCTCTTCATCAGCTGGGATGGAGGTGAATTCGGCAGTGTGGGCTCCATGGAGTGGCTGGAGGTGATTCTGGGTCCTGGGTGGGTAGCCAGGCCTTGGGGAGGGGTGGGCAGGTTCCTCCTCCACACTCTTGCCCTACCCACAGGGCTACCTCAGTGTGCTACACCTCAAAGCTGTGGTCTACGTGAGCCTGGACAATGCAGTGCTGGGTGAGCTGGGGCAGTGCCCACACCCAGTGCCCTCAGGCCCACCTTGGCCCCTGTGCCAAGCCCTAAACCTGCCATCTCTCGCTTTCCCTCTCCAGGGGATGACAAGTTCCATGCCAAAACCAGCCCGCTTCTGATCAGCCTTATTGAGAACATCCTGAAGCAGGCAAGAGGGGACCAGGACAGGGAGTAGGGGAAGCTGGTGGGGGCCAAGTCTGAGCCACATCGCCTCCTGCACCTTAGGTGGACTCCCCCAACCATAGTGGGCAGACTTTGTATGAACAGGTGGTGTTCACCAGTCCCAGCTGGGAAGCAGAAGTGTAAGTTGGGGTGGGATGCGGGGCAGAGGGGTGAGGGGAGCCTGAACCCACAGAGCCTTCAACTGGCCACCCCCAGGATCCAGCCTCTGCCCATGGACAGCAGTGCCTATTCCTTCACCGCCTTTGCCGGGGTCCCTGCAGTGGAGTTCTCTTTCCTGGAGGTGAAACTTTGGCCAGCCCCTGGGAGCCATTCCTGGGCCCTGCTGCACTACACACACGCCCAGCCCCTCCATGTCCCCACAGGATGACCAGGAATACCCATTTCTGCACACAAAGGAGGACACCTATGAGAACCTGCACAGGATGCTACGAGGCCGCCTGCCAGCTGTGGCACAGGCTGTGGCCCAGCTTGCCGGACAGCTCCTCATCCGGCTCAGCCATGACCACCTGCTGCCCCTCGACTTTGGCCGCTACGGGGATGTGGTCCTCCGGCACATTGGCAACCTCAATGAGTACTCTGGGGACCTCAAGGTTCAAGATGCCAGCCCGCTTCCAGCCTCTGGAGTTGGGGTGTACCTTCCCTTAGAGTGCTGCCTAGGCCAGGGGTCTACCCTACCTTCCCACCTCATCTCTGGGGTATAGATCTCTGGGAGCCTGGTCCTGTTACTCCTGCCTCCATCACTCAGGCCACAGGACAGAGTGGAAGATGAACCCCAACATCATATATCCGGGCACTTCTCCCTCAGCCCCTGAATCCTGCCTCCCAGCACTCCCATACTTCTCCCTCCTGTTCCCAACCCTGTCCCCCAGCACCCTAACCTCGTCCTAAACTAGGGTCTTGGCCCTTGTGGTTGGCCCCAGCCAGTGTCTCACCCTCAGGCCCGTGGGCTGACCCTGCAGTGGGTATACTCGGCGCGGGGGGACTACATCCGAGCAGCAGAGAAACTGCGGAAGGAGATCTATAGCTCTGAGGAGAGCGACGAGAGGCTCATGCGAATGTACAACGTGCGCATCATGAGGGTGAGGCCCCGCCCCTTCCAGCCCACCCCCACAGCTGGTCCACTGCTTGGTCCTTGCCTTCTGAGAGCACCCTGTCCTGGATCCACAGTGCTCATAGACCAGCTAGGCCGGAGGACCTGACTGGTCACTGAGGTGGGCCCTGTGGAGCAAGGGCTCAGGCCTATCCCACTCCAGCACCCTTGGGAGAGATAGGACATGTCCACCATAGTCCACAGTGCAACAGGCACAAGGTTACAGCCTGGCAGGTTCAAAAGACTAAAGAGTTTCAGAGCCAGCAGAGCTATCCTCCTTCTGGCGTTGAGATGGGTGGGATCCAGACAGGCTGACTGCAAGAGGTTTAGCGCATATTTCCTCGCCAGAACTTCGTGGTTAGTTCGGAATGCTTGGCAGATCACATTCCCACTCCAGGTCACCCATCTCCTCACCCCAAGAACTCAGCATCTAAATCAGTGGCGGTGAACCTATGGCACACGTGCCGCAGCCTCATCAGGCTGTGTCATTGCGAGCTTTAAAAGGTTCGCTCTGCCTGCCCTACACCCTTTGATTCCAGGAAATGGGTGGGTTGGGACTGTATGCTGGGGGAAAGATTCACAGGGTAAAACTAGAAGCCACACTGTGCCCAGCGAGTGCAGATGAGCAGGGGGACCCAGAGTGTGGGCGCAGAGCCACTTGAGCTCAGTAATGTATGGTTGGCAGAACTGGTCACCCTTGGTTGTTCCTGGTCTTTCTCCCCCATATTTTTCCTGCCTGTGCCACCACCCATGCCCCTTGGCATCACTCATTCCGTCTGTGTGCTTATAGACTTCTCTGTCCAGTTCTTCCTCGTCCTTGCTTCTTCCTCCTGGCCTCTTATGCTCCTTTCCTTCTCTGGCTCCTGTGTGTAAAGTTTCAAGGACTCCAATTCAAGGCTGCAGGCCAGGAGGGACACTCAGGACTTCAGACCCAAGGAACTCTGGCTCTGGGCCAGGGGTTGGTCAAGTACATTTAGCACACCAAATTCAGGCTGCTGCCTGTTTTTGTCAATAAAGTTTTATTGCAATACCAACTATGTTCATGGGTTTCCACATGGCCCATGGCTGTCTTTGTGCTAAAAGCAGCCACACTGAGTAATTGCAGTAGAAACAGCGTGGCTTGCAAAGCCTAAAATATTTCCTCCTTGGCTTTTTGCAAAGTTTTCTGACCTCTGCTTTAGACTGTGTGACCTGAGTCTTGAAGAGGCAGGGCTTGGACTGGTTCTAAGAAGACACTGGAGAGTGGAGAGAAGACAACATTGGAGGGTGGAGAGACCAAGAATAAGGGTGCGGCTTAAGTGAAAGAGGCCTGGTTTCCTTGGAAGCAGGATGTGGACCAGTAGAGCCAGAAAGAGGCCCAGGGGAGAGGAGCAGCAACTAGTGGGTTAGCAATCAGCTGTGGGGAGCCTTCCACGCCAGATTTAGAGGGTCAGGGCAACCAGGAAATTTCAGTGAGGGAGGTATGGTGCCAGGGTGGAAGGGTGTTAGCCAGAGTGTTAATGGTCTGAAATTAATGAAAGCTGAGCCCTGGATGAGGGTGACAGGTGGCAGCAAATACCTGTAGGTGAAGCCCAGACTGATATGAGGCATTTGGAAGAAAAAAAAAATGGACAAACTAGGTATGGAGGAAAAAGTAATACACTAGCAGCTACCAATTATAGACAGCTGCTATGTGCTAGGTCCTTACTTCCTTTTGTCCCATAGTGCCCTCCCCCCAGCTGCGAGGTTGCTAGTATTGGATGTTTACAGTTTTTTTTGGAGATCAGATCTCGCTATGTAGTTCAAGCAAGTCTTTTTATTTTATTTTTTAAATTTTTTTATTTTTTTTTTTTTGCGGAACCAGGGATTGAACTCAGGCCCTTGTGCTTGCCAGGCAAACGCTTATTCTCCTGAGCCATCTCCCCAGCCCCTCGAGTGAGTCTTGAACTTACTATGTAGCCCAGGCTGGCCTCGAACTCTCTGCTATCCTCCTGTCTCAGCCTCCCAGGTGCTGGGATTACAGGCTTGCACTACCGTGTATGTTGCTAGTATTATATGCAGATACTGAGGCTCACAGAGGCCAAGTAACTTACCCAAATCAGGGAAGCACTTATTCTACTGAGCCATCTCCCTGCCCCTCTCCCTTTTTTTTTAACTTACCCAAATCAACTGGCTGAGCTGAAAGTGGTTGAGTGGCTGAGCCAGAATTAGAGACCAGGCAATCTGGTCACCCATAGCCTCTGCTCACTCTACTCTTACTCATTCATCAGAGACCAACCCCCAAGGACCCATGTGATGCTTTGAGGAACTGTGGGTACAAGGCTTAGGGTTTATGCCCCTTCCCCATGCTGGGGATGGAAGCCGGGCTCTTACACATGCTAGTCATGCAATCTGCTGCTGAATCAGACCTCTAGCTCCTCAGTGAAGGCTTTGGGAGAGGTTGACACCACCAGCCTCATTCAAGGCTATGTCCAGGAACCTCCTGACCCATTAGGGCAGGATTCCAGTGAGTGATTTGGCAATTGGGCTCGTGGAGATCCTGGCAGGAGTTAGGGTACATGCTCCTATGAGCTTTGTGAGCAAACGCATTAAGGCTGCCGTAGACCTTGTGACTTCACTAGGGTGGCACCCAAGCAAGGATTTAAAACTTCCCTGAGCCAAGCATCGTGGCACATGTCTGTAATCTCAGCACTTTGGGAGGCTTAGGCAGAAAGATCACAATGTTCAACCCTGTCTCAAAATGCAAAACTAAAAAATGGCTGAGGATATAGCTCAGTTCAAAGGACCCAGGTTCAATCCCCAGTACCTGAAAAAACAACCAAACAAAAAACCCTCTTCTGGTTGATTCTAACGTGCAGCATAGTTGAGAGCTCCAGAGCTTTAGGTAGAAAGTCAAAGAAGGTCATCTTGAGACCTGTCCGCAGGTGAACACAAGAAGGTGGGAGAATGGCCAAGAACAAGGCCATCTCAGAAGCAGAACAAGAAAAAAAAAAAAAAAAGAAGAAGAAGAAAAAGAAGCAGACAGCACCAGGGGCAGAGGGTGACGAGGTGCATCGTCAGGACTGTTGTCCTGTTGACCTTTGACTCTGTGCTGTAGACACTGGCAGAGGGGGGACTAGGGTGTGGGGAAGCGTAGTATGAAGAGCAACAAGACAACAGATGGATTTTTGAGGCTTTGGGCAGGGAACTGAGTGGGTTAGGAAGTCTGGGGAGACTAGATGTCGGCTTCCGGAGCTCCAGCCATAGAAATAGAAAGAAACCTCCGCAGCTGCAGGAGGCATCCTGCCCAGCTACTGGTCACCTCACTGGATGCCTATTCTTTTTTTTTTTTTTTTTTTTTTTTTTTTTTGGTGGAACTGGGGTTTTGAACTCAGGCCCTTGTGCTTGCTAGGCAAGTGCTAATTCTACCTAGCCATTTCCCTGGCCCAGGATGCCTATTCTTGACTGGACAGAGAGGTGGTTATGAAGGAAGCCGCTGAACCATATTTATATAGGAGGTCCTCAGTGTCCAGGTCAGTTTGGAACTGTAGGCTGGTAGGGTGGTTGTAGCCTTTGCCTCAGGAACAACACTCCCCCACCCATACAGGTGGAGTTCTACTTCCTGTCCCAGTATGTGTCACCGGCTGACTCCCCATTCCGCCACATCTTCCTGGGCCATGGAGACCACACGCTGGGTGCCCTGCTGGATCATCTACGGTTGCTACGCCCTGAAGCCTCCAGGGCCCCCAAGGCCTCTGGACTGCTGCCGGACCTGAGCTTCCAGGAAAGTCGCTTCCGGCGCCAGCTGGCCCTGCTCACCTGGACGCTGCAGGGCGCAGCCAACGCACTTAGTGGTGATGTCTGGAACATCGATAACAGCTTCTGAGACCTGGGGCCCCTGGATCTACACACCTCTGTGCCCTTGGTGACAGCTCTTTCTCTCCCTTCTTATGCAGTGCAGGGTGAAGGAGGTGACTCTGTCCACCTCTCGTGACCCCTTACCCCCTTATCCCCTGTGGTCTCTCCACGGGCCCAGAACAGACAGCCATACACCTTGGGCCTGCAGTGGAGTTGAGCAGATCTGCCTTAATGTGACAGTCATACTGTCTATTAAGCAGAGAGCAGCATCCCCTCAGGTAGTCTCTTGCTCTTAAGAACTGGATCCCCAGAACTAGAGCCCATGTGAAGCCTTGCACCTGGTCCTGGGCCCTGCACCTGGTCAGCTCCCTTATGGGAGACATGCCCTGGCACCACAGCCTTATGATGGCCAACAGGTCGTCTGTGGCACAAGGGATATGGGGTTTCTAAGTCAATAAAGCACCTGGTGACATCTGTTGCTCCTAAGCACCTTACACTTCGTCTTCACTCCCCCCCCCCACCTCACCCTTCATCCCACCCTTGAGAGCTAGGAAGTGTTGGGCAGATGGGATCAAAGACGATGCATGTAGGGTGCTGTCTCTAGGAAACTCAGCTGATTTATTGCCTAAGGAAACTTTGGAGCCAGGCACAGTGGCACATGCTGTCAGTAGTTCCAGTACTCTGGGAAGGCTGAGGCAGAAGGATTGCAATTGCAAGCAAGTAGGCAACTTAGCAATTTAGCAAGACCTTGTCTCAAAATTAAAAAAACTTAAAGGACTAGGGATATAGCACAGTTACCAGTACAAGGGGAAAAAAAAATCCTAAGGAAATTGTCTAAGTGTGTAATGAAGTCCATTTTCTCTCTTTCTTTTTTTTTATACCAGGGATTGAACTCAAGACCTTGCACTTGCCAGGCAGGTGCTTATGAATGTCCATTTTCTAAAGTGGATATGAGTGGGGTCCTGGCTTTGGAACTAAGAAAAGTTACATAATTTGCAAGCCCTGGTGCAGCCTAAAAATTCAGGGTCTTTGTTTAATGAGCAGGAATAAGTTAAGTGTGGTAGCACATGCCTGTAATCTCAACACTTGGGAGGCTGAGGCAGAAGGATCACCAGGAATTTAAGGCCAACACTCTCTGGTCTTGTGTCCAGGTCACTGCTGGAAAAGGAGAGTGCAGTTTATCCCTTGTGGGGGCAGTAGGGCAGCTGGAAGTCTCAGCACATGCTCCATTGCCCCTGCAGACTTCACTTTCCAAAAGTTAAATTTAGAGATAACATCATTAAGATTTTCCAGATGGCAGCTGCACAACATTAAAGCCCAAACGTGGGACCCCATCTAGCATGTGCCTGCATGAAACTGCAGTGGTCATGTGCCATTAGATCAACCCTGTTGGGGGTTGGCTCCCTGGGATCCCTTTTGGCTATTTTTGTCCAATAAGGATGGGGAACTGGAAGGCTGAGCTACAGGAGGGCAGGGAAATACAAGTGCTGCTGGCCCATTCATCATGGCTTCAGGAAGTGGCTCTCCGGGCACTTGCTCCTGGGCAGTGGCATAAATCCTAAGGGCCAGTCAGGCAGGACAGGACACACCTGTAATCCCAGCACTTTGGGATGATGAGGCAGGAGGATCATAAATTCAAGGTCAAGATGGGCAATTTAGAAAGACCTCGTATCAAAATTTGATACAATAAAAAGGGGTAGGGATAGGGCTGGCAAGATCGCTTAGGCAAGCGCAGGGACCAGGGTTCAATCCCCAACACCACATTCCTTGATGAGCTGGCTATGGAGACTGGGCATGGTAGTGCACACCTGTAATCCCAGCACTGGGGAGGCTGAAAACAGGAGGATCACTATGAGTCTGAGCTGCGTAGTGTACCAAATAAATTTTTTAAAAGAGGGGGTGGGTGGATGGGTATGAAGCTCAGTGTGAAGACTAGGTTCAGTCCCCAGGACTGCTAAAAAATAAAAAAAATCCTTGGGGCATCTGCTTGGTCCTCTCATCTTCAGAGTGGCAGGAGAGGCCTCACTCTCTCCCTGGTCACTGGGAAATGAAGGCTTCCTCATCTAAGACTTGGGATGTCCCAACCCCTTGGTTTCAGGATGAAACATGCCTATTTTTAATTCTCAAGGCTGATCAGGTATGTTCACAGACCCGGAGCCTAACAGTCTCAGAAACATCCTCAAATGCCTGTTTGCCTGGCTTCCACTCCAGAGCAAATCTCCTGAAGTGGCTTCATGGCCCCTGTTCCCCTCGCACAGCTTCTCCCTGTAGGAGCCAGTCGCACTTTCGACAAAGATGTGTACATCCTGTCTCTGAATGCTACTCAACATGGCAGAATGGACTTTGTAGATGAGATTAAGTTATGGATCTCACAGTGAGGAGTGTTAGCTGGGTGTGCTAGGCAGAAGGATGACAAGTTCAAGCCCAGCCTGGGGAATTTAGTGACTTTAGGGAGACCTTGTATCAAAATATAAAATAAAAAAGGACTGGGAATGCAAAGTCCCTTGTTCAACATCCATGACCATAAAGAGAGGAGGAGTGTTATAAGCTGAACTGAATTGTGTGTCTCTTCCCAATTCCTACGCTGAGACTTAAACTTCCAGTGCCTGTATTTGGATATAGAGCCTATAAAGAAGTGACTAAATTAAAATAAAACCCTGATAGTAAAAGTGGGATCTAGGGACCAGGGATATGGCTCAGTAGAATAAGTGCTTGCCTGGCAAGTGCAAGGGCCTGAGTTCAATCCCCAGTTCTGCCAATTAAAAAAAAAAAAAAGTGGGATCTAGCTGGGCATGGTGGCACATGCCTGTAATCCCAGCACTTGGGAGGCTGAGGCAAGAGGATCCATGAGAGTTCGAGGCCAAAGTGAGCTCAAGGCCAGCCTAAACTACATGGCGAGACCTGTTTCTAAATAAATAAATAATAAAGTGGGATCTAATCCAATTGGACTGGTGTCTCCATGAGAAGAAATCTAGACACAGACACCAGGGATTGTGCACACAGAGGAAAGAATACATGAGGACATAGCAAGAAGGCAGCCATCTGCCAGCCGAGGAGCTCGGCCACACAGGAAACCAACCTCTTGGTCTGGGCTTCTAGTGTTCAGAATCGTGAGAAAATAAATCCCTATTATTTGGTTTGGGGAAGGTTGTTTGTTTTGTTTTGTTTGCCGTGCTGGGAATCAGGCCCAGGGCCTAGCACAGGCGCGCTCGACCACTCTACCCCCAACCCTTGGCCTGTGTTGTTCTGTTCAGGCAGACCCAGCACATTCATACAGGCGAGTATCCCAGACTAATGTGGGGGTGTGATTACAAGCTGCCTCATAGAAGGAGACTGAGGGGCCAGGGAGATGGCTCAGTGGAATAAGGTCTTCCCTGGCAAGCGCAAGGGTCTGAGTTCAATCCCCAGTTCCGAAAAAAAAAAAAGGAGATGGGACCAGAGACAGAGATACAACGGCAGAAGCAGAGAGTCAAGAGTAAAAAAAGAGATTTGAAAATGTCTCCTCCTGGTGTTACGGTTTATATTGAGATGTCCTCCGCCAAGGCTCATGTGCTCTGAGGTGGGGGTGGAGGAGTGACTGGCACATGGGTGTGTGACACTCATCCCTGGATTGATAGTGGGGTGTGACATTGGAAGGTTCGCGGCCCGGATGTATGGAATCCCTTTTTTCCCTCTATGCCTGCTGCTTCCTGGCTGCTCTGCCATGAGCTCTTTCTCCTCTGCGATGCCCTTCTGTCATGTTGCCTGCCTTGGAGCCAGCTGACTATAGACTGAAACCTCTACAGACTGAGCCGACATAAACCTCCCCTTAACTTGTGCATACTTTGTCTCAGTAACAGAAAGTACCAAAGACAGCCAGCACTAAGATGAAGAAAGAAGCTGTGGATGTCACTCAGTGACTTGCCTAGCATGCCTGAGACCCAGAGTTGCATCCCAATGCCAGGGGTCAGGAGGAACAGAAGGTCACAGGCCAAGAGATACAGATGACCTCTACAAGCTGGAAAAGTCAAGGAAACAGACTCCAATTCAATATTGTATCCTAGGGAACACCCCTCCAAACACCTTGATCTTAGCTTCAGAGTACCCATTTTGGATTTCAGACCCCTAGAATTTTTTTTAAATCTTTTTTTAAAAAATTTATTTATTGGGCTGGTGAGATGGCTCAGTGGTCTAAAGCACCTACTTAGAACAAGCTAAGCAAAGCACAGGGACCGCGGTTCAATCCCCCAGCACCACATGCCAGCCAGCCCC